GAAGGGAAAAGGGTGGGGGGGAGGAGGGGGCGGGGAAGGGAAAAGCGTGGAGGGAGGGGGGGTGGGGGATGGAGGAGGGGGGAGAAAAGGGTGGGGGAGGAAGGGAGGAGAAAAGGGTGGGGGGAGGGAGGAGGAAGGAAAGGAAAAGGGTGGGGGTTGGGGGGAGGGAGGAAGGAGGGGAGGGGTTAGGAGGAGGAGATAAGGGAGGGGGGGTTGGGGGAGGGAGGAGGAAGGAGGGGAGTGGGTAGGTGAAAGGGGGTGGAGTGGGAGGGAGGAGAGGGGAAAGGGAGAGGAAGGGATAGGAGAGGGGGAGAGGGGAGGAGGAAGGACTAGGAAGAGGGGATAGGCGGAGGGGAAGGAGAAGGGGAGAGGGGGAGGAGAGGGGAGGAGAGGGGAGGGGAGGGAAGGGAGCAAGGAAAGGGGGGGGGGTGAAGGGAGTGGTGAGGATGTGGCTAAGGGAGGGAGGGAGGGGGGGAAGAAGGAAATTTTATTTTTCCTATTTATTTTTTTCTTTAATATAATTATCGTAGTTTATGAAGATAAATAATTATTCACGATGAATATATAATTTTTGGGGGGTTGATTACATTTTTCCTTTTTTTCGAATATACATCTAATTATAAATCCAGATGACATTTAGATTTTTCTACGTAATAAAGAAATGAATAAATAGAGACAAAATAAAACAATAAAACGTGTAAATAAGACAACATTTATAAAACAAAAAACAAAAAAAAATGGCGACGTGATCAGCTGATCGAAGGGAAAGCTCGGTAGGATGAGGATATATCTTTTCCTCGTTTTTATCTTCTTTATCGTCTTATCTCTCTTCCTTGTTCCTTCTAGAAGCGAAACATGCGAAAAGGGAGATAGCAGAAGTCAAAGGTATGTATGATATAAAATATTTAATTTGTTTTATTAATAATTGTTTCATGTTTTGTTATGGAATCCGGATAATGGGATATAAACATGTACGGTAATCAGGTCACATGAGGGCGTGTCTTCATATTATCCGGTTTAAGAAAGGATCGAAAAAAAATCTAAAATTAGATTATTTTAGTTTTTTTTTCCAAATTTTATAAAAATCATTCTGTATCGATTCTGAAATTTTCTCTCTCTACAGTTTTTTTTAGAATGTTGAGCGATTTTTTTTTTTTTGATACCGAGAGTCATTAGGGCAATTATAACTCACTATGCAACATTATCCTATTAATAACTCATTAAATAATTATGTCCTATTAATGTTATGCAACAACATCATAAAAGATGCAAATTATCTGCTTACAGGAAATAGATAAGAATTTCCTCTACACAACAGTAGTGACTCTTTATATAGTGAATTTAAAAGGATGGCAGTTGAAATGGATGAAATAACAAAACAAATATGATAATTTAAGGAAAATGCATTTGTAACAATGTTGGATTATACAGAAGACGATTTTCTTACATTATTTTTAGTTTTTAGTTGTTATTTAGGATATTGTTTGTTTTTATGTTCATGTATATGTATGAATGTATGTATGTATGTAAGTATGTATGTATGTAAGTATATATATATATATATATATATATATATATATATATATATATATATATATATATATATATACATATATACATGTATACATGTATACATGTATACATGTATACATGTATACATGTATACATGTATACATTTATACATGTGTGTGTGAGTGTGCATATGCATGAGTATGTATGTATGTATGTTTGTATGTATGTATGTATGTATGTATGTATGTATGTATGTATGTATGTATACATATATATATATATATATATATATATATATATATATATATATATATATATTTATAAATATATATATGTATAGGCACATGTACATACACAAATACATATACATACATGTGTGTATGTGTGTGTGTGTGTATATATATATATATATATATATATATATATATATATATATATATATATATACATGTATATATTTATACATATACATGTATATACATGTAAACATATATATTTATATATACATATATATACATGTAAACATATATGTTTATGTATACATATATATATACATATACATACACACACACACACATATATAAAAATGTATATGCTAAATGATCTCTCTCCATCCAGTAATGGTACTTAGTACCGGCATATCTCAGTGACATTATCAGTGCATTATTTATACACTCTACGAAGTTACATGGTTTAAAGCAAATCCAGCATGTAATACAAAGATAGTATAGTGTACTGTATCTTGATAAAAATGTGATGTTTTCAGGTACTTACTCTACGACGTGAATCCCGGAGAAGGATTTAACCTGCGCAGAGATGTCTTTGTTCGCATTGCAAACTTGGCGCGCAGGCTGAGTGAGATGGACAATTGGATTCTGGTCAGTAGAATTATTAACTTAAATGATATATGGGATTGAATGTTAATGTAAATATGTAAATATGTTGGTAGTAAATATGTTGTGTGAAGGGATTTCTTTTATATATTTTAATGAACATATATTTTGCAAACTCTTTATTTTGATTGAAGTATTTTTTTTTTTTTTTACGAACATTATATATTTTTAATGAAATGCATTTTTGAATTGATAAGATCATTTTTATTTTTTATGTAAAGCAGAGAGAAAGATTAGCTCTATTTTTTAAAGATTTTCTTTTTCAAGACTTCACATAATGACAGTAATTTAGTTTTATAATACCACTATATATATATCACTTTTGTAATGATGAGAACAAAACCATTTTGAATATTTCCATTTTATCAAAGAAAATATCTCTCAGAAGTGAGCATGAATAATCTTTGTTAATTAACATATGTAATGAATTGCTGGGTATAATAAAAAATATTAAGTAGTTATTCATTAGTTTTAGATGCCTGAGGTAACACTGATTAATTTATCATTCTTCCATCATACTTTTACTATCATATTTAATATAATAATAGTTGGTAGCTGCAAGGATTTTTTTTTTTTTTTTTTTTGTCATTCTCAAAGCTTATGAAGTTTTCTTTCTGTCACTGACCTGTTTTTCTCTCTCTTCCCTTTTGTTCTTTTTACAACTTTAGGGGGAGCTTATAGCAGGTAAGTTTCTATAAAGAAAATAGGATCCATTTGAATACAGGCATTGAGAAACACCTAATGCTCACATCTCTCTTGATTTTCACTTGCTATTAGATATGAATAGGATGTAAAAACAATGAAACATTTTGCTCTTATAAAACCTAAACCATTACATGCTTTACTGAAGATACTCAATAATGACTTTGCAGCTGTAGAGTCACTTGAAAATCTATGCATAGAAATGGGTAAAATGGAAATATTCACTTTGCATCTTATGAAAGACTTCAGTTATGTCTTCCCCAAAATTAGGGTGACTTCCACCTTAAGGCTGAATAGAGACTTCCATACGTCTAAATATGGCCCTGCAAAATGATATTATTATATGAATGCATGAACAGTTGAAAATTAATATATTAATTTATGAATATATACATATTTTATGAACATACTTACATTTTTAAAAAGCATATAGCACAAAAAATCATATATATATAAAAAAAAAATCTTCTTTCTTTCTTTTCTTTTCTTTTTTTAATATTTGTTTTTGGATGATGAAGGATTTTATGAAGAGATTTGTTATTTAATCAGCATTTTTATTAAAATATTATGACCTACACTTTCTAAAGAACCACAAAATTAATCCAGGTGCTGCCTCCATGGGGAAGGCTCTACCACTGGAAGCACACGCATCGAGGGGAGTATTTCCCCTGGCACAGTTTCTTCGACGTAAAAAGCCTCAGTAAATGGACTCCTGTCATTGAATTTGAGGACTATTTGAAAGGTGTGTTTGTATTTATGGATTTATTTGTCTGTGAATCTATCTACATGAATATTCATCCCTAGACTGAAGACTTCTTGAATCACCTTTATAAGATTTTAATAAATCTCAAAAAAAAAATTCTCACTTTCTTTGTCTAGCTGAAGGCCCAAAGATACAAGAGGTGTACATGCTACAACACTATGTAGAAGGATGGACCGGAGAGTGGGTGGTGAAGTACGACAGACGACCCTGCTTAGAACAACATAATTATGGGTATGTATATAATTTTTCTTGTGTGATTGTTGTTAGAAAAATACTGTTAGGTTGAGTTCTTTTATATTATATTGCATTTAGTTTAAAAAGAAAGAGAACAAACAAGGCTTCTGCAAATGTTAAATCTAGGACTGTTTAATAAGAGCAATTTTATACACTTATATTAGTAAGTTTTTATTTAGTTTTCACAAGAAGTTGATTAAATTTCAATGACATATACATTCCACTGTCAAGTCTGTATACAATTTTTATAGCTCTTTTTATAAGCAACTATTTTTGATTTAACATTCTCTCTCTCTCTCTCTCTCTCTCTCTCTCTCTCTCTCTCTCTCTCTCTCTCTCTCTCTCTCTCTCTCTCTCTCTCTCTCTCTCTCTCTCCTCTCTCTCTCTCTCTCTCTCTCTCTCTCTCTCTCTCTCTCTCTCTCTCTCTCTCTCTCTCTCTCTCTCTCTCTCCTCTCTCTCTCTCTCTCTCTCTCTCTCTCTCTCTCTCTCTCTCTCTCTCTCTCTCTCTCTCTCTCTCTCTCTCTCTCCCTCTCTCCTCTCTCCCTCTCCTCCCTCCCTCCCTCCCTCCCTCCTCTCCTCCTCTCCTCTCTCCTCTCTCTCCCTCTCTCTCCCCTCTCCCACCTCTCTCCCTCTCCCTCCTCCCTCTCCCTCTCCCTCTCCCTCTCCCTTCTCTCTCTCTCTCTCTCTCTCTCTCTCTCCCTCTCCCTCTCTCTCTCTCCTCTCTCCTCTCTCTCTCTTCTCCTTCTCTCTCTCTCTCTCTCTCTCTCTCTCTCTCTCTCTCTCTCATTCTTTCTCTCTCTCTCTCTCACTCTCACACAACATATGCCTTTTCCAGTGAGGATAGTGATGGTTCATGGCATGGGACAGCATGGGGAACAAATGTCAGAGTTGGGAATTTTACGTGTCTGTCTATTCAAGGTGAAGCTTCAACACTCATACCACTTATCACACAGAAGGAAGAAATACGGCAAGTTATTCCATTATTTTTTACATTTTTTGTGTATGTGGTTATGTATATTTACATGGGTGACTCTGAGAAAATAGATATGTGAACTAATTAATATCTATTCATAAGTTCTTGTATTGTCACTGTATAGGAATAATGAGCTGGAATTTAAGTCATTTTTCCTTCACTCCAGGACTGTCCTCATAACAAGGGCAGAGACAGTTTTGCATGATGAATACGGAGGAAAAAGATATTGGGCTGCAAGGAGGAGCATGCGGTTTGCCAAGCACTTGCTGTCAGAAGCTGCTAGGTTTAGGGCTGAATACCTCCATTCTGATGACATCAATGATAAGACTGTGGTGACTGATGACTGGAGGGACTTTAAGGTGAGAGATTATTACCTCCTTGACCACATTGGGTTAACGTGGTCACGGTTTAAATTTGCATTATCCAACCACAGTCCACTGCTTTTGGAAAATTTTCCTATGTTCATGCACAATAGGTCTACATATTTTCAAGCCGGTTTTGCCTTGCTGTTTGCTGTTGTCTGTATCCAGATGGCTAGGAAGGCAGAAAGATAACTGATATGCTTTTATTCTGGAAACAAAAGTAGACAGACAAAAATGTATATTTCAGTTTTTTTTCATAAATAAAGACACTTTTTCATGTTAAATTTACTTTTTAAGGAATTCTACAGCCAAACATTGAATCTTTAACTCCATTACCAACATGAAAAAACACAGTGTTCCAATGGGTACTTTCATTTTTTGCTGCTTAACCCTCAAAAGGGCATAATTTTCGGTTTCACAATTTTGGGTTTCAATAGATAGATGTTTTTTTTTTTCAAAACAAGAATATTTTTGCATGTATCTCAATTTTTTTTTTTTCTTCTTCTTCTTCTTCTTCAATACATCAATATGTATGTAATAACATTCTCTGCAGCCCAAGCGTGGAACAGCAGTGGGAGGTCCATACCTTTCAGTCCACCTACGCAGACGGGACTTCATATATGCAAGAGGAGATGAAATCCCTAGCCTTAAAAAAGCGGCAAAGCAGATGAAAGAATTACTGGAAGCAAAGGAACTACAAGATGTTTATATTGCAACAGATGCACCACTTGAAGGTGGGTTAGGTAGTATAGAGCTGATTGTGAAAAAGTTGGTTGTTGAGAAGTATAGGTAGTTATGACTTTTTTCTTTGTCTCTCTCTCTCTCTCTCTCTCTCTCTCTCTCTCTCTCTCTCTCTCTCTCTCTCTCTCTCTCTCTCTCTCTCTCTCTCTTTCTCTCTCCTTTTCCTTCTCTCTCTCTCTCTCTCTTTCTCTCTCCCTCTCTCTCTCTCTCTCTCCTTTTCCTCTCTCTCTCTCTCTCTCTCTCTCTCTCTCTCTCTCTCTCTCTCTCTCTCTCTCTCTCTCTCTCTCTCTCTCTCTCTCTCTCTCTCTCTCTCTCCCCCTCTCCTCTTCCTCACTCTCTCTCTCTTTATTTTGTCTTTTCCGCCCTCTTTTACTATGATTATTACTCTTGATAATTAATTTCCATTGATGTCATCCCTAAGAAGTACTTAACTCTTCAACTCTCATCCATGTTTTGTGAAGAGTTCATTTCCCATTCTCCCTCTTCCTGAATTCACACTAGATAATACAGGATGAGGCAGAGGATCTCTATCATGCTAGTATCCATGAGAGTTATTTATAGGTATTGTAAATATTGTCAGGAATCCAGTTTGTCACTAAGAGTAATATTTATCTTCCTGTATCACTACTTTTTGCTTCCATGACAGAGTACGTGCAGCTGGAAGAACTCATGAAACCGTATAAAGTACACCGGTATGACCCCAGTCCAGAGTTCTTTGATCAGTGGGGTGACGGCGGAGTAGCCATTGTCGACCAGATAATTTGTGCTCATGCAAGGTTAGCATTTTTTTCTTTCTTCCTTTCTTTCTTTTTAATGACTTAATGTTCAGAACTTGATTATAAATGTGTGTGTGTGGGGGGGGGGGGGCATGCGTGTATGCATGCTTGTGCTTGTATGTTTCATCTTCATCACAGAAACAGAGAGAATGAGAGACAGTCAGACAGAGACAAACAGAAAGACAGACGTGTGATTGTGCCCCATCTTTTTTATTAAAGTTTCATTCCTTTTCCCTGTAATCTAAGCTATTAGCAAGCACCTAATTCTCCTTTCTTCCCTCAGGCATTTCACCGGCTCATACGAATCTACATTCTCCTTCCGCATACAGGAAGAGAGGGAGATCATGGGCTTCCCTGTGGAGACAACCTTCAATCGATTATGCGGAAAGAAAGCAAAGTGTGAACAGCCAGCGAAATGGAAAATTGTATACTGAATGTTTTTATATTTTCAACACTTTTATGTATATCACAGTTGTCCTTTGGTTGTATGAACCCTGTTTGTTCGTCTGTTTTTTCCATCTTTTGTATTAACTTACATTCTAAATATTTACCAAAGAAATTATGTATTCATCAGTGTCTCAAAAAGTGTCACAAATATCTCTGTTCATATTTAGTGTAATTCAAACGATCAGTTTGCTTGTGTGAACTGAAAAAGGAAATGATAGGACTATTTATAAACTCAGGTTTTAAACTAGATGCAAAGTATATTAGAGTATTAGTAGCTATTTCATTTAACTGATCTGAAATATAAAGAACCTTTCATTTAGATATGGATGATGTTTAAGGATGAAATTTAATAAAATGTGCATGTTAAGTAATGACAAAATAATCAGTTAGTTGGCTATTGTACACAGGTTAAGTATATGGAAAGTATTCATAAAGGATATTACAACAGACTGAGCATCCTTAATCTGAAAATCTGGAATACAAAATGCTTCAAACTTTGAAACCTTTTGAGTTAAGATAGTCACAATTTCCCATGAAATCAAATACAAATTTATGAAAGATAATAAAAATCAATACATTTTAAAATCTGGTTGTGATTTTCAGTATTTAATCTACAGTTTTGGCATTGCTAGTTCTTTAATCAAGCCTAACAAAAATTCTTTATCCTGTATTTTGATTGTACATGTATTGACTTACTTCTGAAAACACTAAATCATGAAATGCAAATCCTTGCACATTAAGTATGCCAAGTTGATATTCTGTGTGAAATGCTTTTCTATCCATTTAAGATTTGTAAAGACATCATACAAGTACTTAATCATGTTTTTATTTGTATTTAATTTTTACTTTCTCACAGTATGATAATAAGTGACAGTATTCTACATTGCAAGAATGCAACAAAGGAAAGAAGTATTAGTGTTAGTATGTCTTTAAGAATAGGGTGCAATGTTATCCAGAAAATATTTTCATCAGTTGTGATACAGATTATAAAAAATAACAATAAAACATTTGTTACACTGGTAGCCTACTGATGAGTATATTTTGCTGGTTATCATATTGATTTCTAGTGTGCCATATTGTGTTTTATATGTGTAAAGTTGGAAAGGTTAGCATTAGATATTCTTTTGTGAAGACCTCTATATATTTGTACAATAAACTTTTTTTATCAACCAAGGCATTTTACCCAAAAATATTTGTTCCCTGGATTTTGAGACGTTTCATGAATGTGAGGCTCTTATTGGGATAATGTTTGTGTAAGCATACTTGGTAATGAATTTTGGTTAAGGAAGAACAGTGCTGGTATTTTATGCTTTATAAACACAATAATTGCAATACCAGTACTCATCATACAATGGAGAGTATGTAGCTGCAACATAAACTTGTGATAGGGAGGGATTTTTTAATCAAAGATGCCAGATGTTGTTCCTATATGTCATTTATATCCATCATCCACATGAACTTATGCATGCTTTCATTTCATAAGAGCAAGAGCAAATATGTTAGGTAAAAAAAACATAAATTGCATAGTTTCGGATTATTAAGAGAGGGTAAGATAAAACAACAATGAAGGGACAAAACAATTTTTTTTATTTTTTTTATTTACTTATAACTGGTTTTAAAATCAATTCTGCTTACTATGGGAAAGAAAGAAAATTATTTAAAATCATATCAAGTTTAGAATATTTTTATTTTACCAATATATAAACATACTAGTACCTTAAAAGGTGGTATAGTAAAATACAAGCATAAAATTTACTTCATAAATACAGTATAGTAAGGAGCAGTATTTGCATTTTTTGCTTACACTGACTTCATATATCTTGTTAGTGTTATTTTTCTCACTACCAGTGTCCCCTTTTTATTTCCCAACACAGTATCCAGTTGTGGTGAAGCTGGCAACAAATTGGTTATTGGTCCACATGGGTCAGGCGCTGATTCCAGTACTGATATTGGATGTCCTTGAAGCCAAGGATTTTTGGTTACAGATAACAGCAAACCTAACAAGCATCATTAAACATGGCACAGTAATGCTGGTAAAACATCTAACGCGACTGACTACATCTTTGTTGACACTCATTAGAGGATTCTTCAACATTGTAGTTTCTTGGTACCAATCATAGATAGTATATAGCTACCATCCACTTTAACATTCTCTCCAGTAACCTCCCCAAGATGTTTCACTTGGACAGATTGAAAATGGAACAGTTTACTCAAGGGATTGCTGAGCACAGGACTTTACAACCTGACAAAACATACTGAGGGGACACCCTGAAATTCAAAACAATTACTACAGCTCAGAAGTCTGTTGAGAAACTTGTACCATACATAGGATTTTAACACTGCTGAGGAGGAACAAAGAACAGCATATCAGGAATCTTAAGGCAGTCAAAGGTCATTTAGCAATTGACTGTCATCTTGCCTATAGAGCCCCAAAACTTTCGTTTGTTCAATGGGGTCATCTCAGATCACGGGTATGAGGACATTAGGCTGGATATTTTGAACAGATGTTTCAGGTTGACCCACCAAGACTCAGTGAAGGTGTCGTGGTCTCAGTGCCAGATCCACCCATCAATGACAAGCCTCTTACTCTAGCAGGA